CTTCCCTCACCGCCCCTACTCGTCTGGTGACCACCATTCCCTCTCAAATTCTATGCAGTCAGCTTTAAAATGTGTGACAGTGAAAAAAAATCAGGCAGCCTCTGCTCTACTCTGTAATGACTCTGGAGAGATCCTGTAAATTCCCATATTTCTGAGAATTTCTTTGATGTGGCAGTAATGGACTGAATATGTTTTGATTGACAAGAGCTCACAAAATTGATTTCCCCACCAGATCTACTGCCCTGCAGCCCTGTTAATTTGTTTAAATAAAGATGGAGCAGGCAGGTGGAAGACGTTGATGGCCATAGTCAGGTTACATTCTTGGAGCTCACAAGAAGGCATTCCGCTTTTTGGAAGTGATAATGGAGACACGAAGGAATATCAAATTAGGATGATGTGGCTCAGAGGACCCTGACTGGAAAAAGGGTCCAGATGCAAGAGACTGGGAGTCTAGAGGGAAGGCTGCTGTAGTAATGTAATTAGGATGCTGCTGCTATGGGGATGGAGGCCCCTGGGATGCTGTTTTCTCTCATTTGAAGAATATCTTGCCCTGCATCCTGATGATGGTTGAACTGGAAAAAAAGGATCCAAAACAAAACAGAAACATGTTCTGTTTTCTCTGTTGCTTTAGAAAACTACTGATGAGCCTTCTGAGAAGGATGCCCTGCAGTCAGGCCGGAACCTGGTGGCAGCTGGCCACGCCCTGTATGGCAGTGCTACCACGTTGGTCCTTGTCACAGACAGTGGTGTCAACTGCTTCATGCTGGACCCGGTGAGAGATCTCTTAGGTTGGGTGCTTGGCTGGTGACTTTGAGCTGGTGTATGCTCTGTGTGTGTGTGTGTGTGTATGTGTGTGTGTGTGTGTGTGTGTGTGTGTGTGTGTGCAGAAGTATACAGAGGTGGGCAAGAAGTCCAGTGGAGAGATAGAGAAATCTTTGCTCTGAAACAAATTCTTTAAATAATCATTGCTCCAATGACTTAGAAGCCCACATGCCCCAGCAGAGCATAGGGACAAGGGGAGTGTGCTAGAAAGAAGGTCAGGGGCCTGGGTGGAATCAAGGTGGACCAGAGAGGTCCAGAGATGATTTTAATTTTTTAAAAATCCTAACTAGTTTATTGGACTTGCTAGCAGATCATAGGGTGGGGGTTTATTTACAGAAGAGTGCCCCCTCACTTATGGCTGTGCTGGAAAGTCCACACTCAAATATAGATCCTGCGACTTCCGGATAGGCAAGAGAGGAGCCTCATGGCTTTATCAGCTTATATATCCTTAGTCCCTCCCCCACATGCAGCTAAGGTTGACTGATTGGGTGGGAGGGGTAACCGACTCCCCCCTCAACTCCTTGATGAGCATGGGAAGGAAGTGTGATTATAGCTTGCCGGCATAACGGTCGAAGGACACTTCCAGTTAACACCAGTTAACCTCTGGTGCTTACATTCTTTCCATCAACCTCTTCTGCAAAAGTCCCTGAGCCTTGGGGGCAGGGGAGGGTGGTAGGTGTGGGATGATCTTCCTCCCATTGTGGCAAGGCATTGAACTTTTGGGTCTCTGCATCATCTGTTTTCCATGGGCTGTTGGCCCGTTTCAGTGGGATTCCAAAAACAAACAGCAAGAAGCAAGAACAAGAGATGATTTTAATTTTTTAATGGAAGCCTCGTCTTACAAATCTAACTTTTTTGAAATACGTGGTACGTTATCATTAT